TTGCAGAATTGAAAGATAACATTCGGAAGTACCTGGGGATACCATGTGAATTACAATCGTTATATTATAAAGGACAACAACTTATAAACGAGCGAGCCATTAGCGATTATAAAATATACTCCGGCAGTGTCCAACTACAAGTGCGGTATTATATTCGTCTAATACAACTAGATTGTGAACAAGAATTTGGTTTAGTTCTAGCGAACACACTAATAATTAGTGATCTTAAGAAAGAAATTGAGAAACGAATGCATATTCCTACTAATCAACAATTTTTATGTGTCAATGGCAATATCGATCAGAATAGTTTGCAAACAATAATCAATAATTCAGATCCCTTTAGTATTACGATACAAGTCGCTAGTAAAGATACAAGTACTGGATTTAAAATGCTTATATTCTCAATTGAACTACCAAATTCAGATAGATATGTTATATTTTTCGATAAAACAAAAACCATTTCGCAATTAAAAATGTACATTGAAGATAATTATGCTTTTGCTGTTGATGCCCAATTGTTCAACTATCCTCTCGCGACATCAACGAAAGATAACAACACTTCGTTACACCTTGCCGGTATCGAAAACGGTACTCTGTTATCCGTTAGCTCAACATTCAAGGGTATTTATCTAAAAACTGATAATCAGTCGAGTGCAAAGAATCTTAACACGCAGTCCATTAATTCTGTTAAACAAGTCAAAGAGGAAATTTATCAACGACTTAAAGTTTATCCATACCGACAACAACTATCTTTTATGTGTTCGCCTCAACGTATAGTCCGTAAACAGAAACTACTCAAAGATTACGGCCTGTATAACGGTTGTATTATGGTCCTTCAAATTCTTGATATCAAATGCCGAATATTTCGAGTCAAATTAGCAACAGGTAAACTGATAGAAGTCGAAATTGATATTGGTGAAACAGTTCTGATGATGAAAATGTTAATTGAAGTCAATGAGGGAATTGAAAGTGGATGTCAAATTTTGATGAAAGATAATGATGAATTATTCGATGACGACATTCTTGCTGATCGATTAGATCGCTGGTACGGGCCTCTTTTTGTGAAAATAGTTTTAGGTGGTCCACTAACACTCGACACATCTGTTCTTGCACCCAAATATGACTATGATTTTACTCAAATTGATGATACAGGCGCTCATTTTAACCGTGGCGGTCATCAGTACTCTCGTCCGGTTGGCTGTATGCGAATTGCATTAAAAGTAGGGAACAAATATCCTCCGGATGATTTATGGTTAGGGAAAAAAGGTGATGATCCGAATGAGTGGCCCGTGTCGTACCATGGCACAGGTCGGCACAATGCCTTGAGTATTGCCGAAGAAGGGTTTCGACTAAGTGAAGGTAAACGATTTTTACATGGTAAAGGTATTTATTCAACACCTGATATCGAAATAGCAAAAAAATACGCCTCAAAATTCACATATGAGAATGAAACAT